AACCAGCGCGATCGGCAGATAGAGAGATATGCTGATAGATTGAAGAGATAGATAATTGAGTCAAGCGAACAGTAGGCACCGTAAGTAAAGTGTGTGAATCACTGTGACTTATAGCATGTGTTATAAAGGTTGTTAACTTTAAAGTGACTTTGAAAATTCTATGTACTAAAACGTTGTATCAAGAAAGAATAAACTAGTTTTAATTAAGAAAGGACTTGTTTCGCTGAAGTACCTCCGAAAGAATTTATACTGGAAATTAACAAACGAGCAGATACGTAACAATATTTATGTTGAACTTTAATGACAGAAGTTCACAACTAGAGGTAGCCCAAACTAAGATCAGTAAATTAATAATTTCTTACAATGAATTATTTACATTCACAAAACGGTAAATAAAAAAATAAAAAATATCTCGTCAGAATTGATTACTACGTAGTAAATGGTTTGGTAAATACTTCTTGAAATCAAAATATTTATACACTATTGTACGACGTACGTCAAAGAATATGAAGTTCTATACTTAGTTAGGAGGGTGATTTAATTTTTTTTACTCATCTAGTTTCCTGTAATTTACCAAAAACGGAACCAAACACTACACGTTATACACACCCGGTTGTTCTAAGAATCAATGTCTGTTTCGAGTTGGGCACGTGCTCTATAGGGGTGGAGTAAATATGCGAACGTTCTCACTAGCGCTGTATTACGTGACTTAGCAAGAGATGCGCGCTGCAGTGACCCTAGGCCTAGTGGTTTTACTGTTTCTGCTAACACTAAGCAGTTTGTTGTTTAATTCAAAATGGACATATTTAGACAAAAGTTTATTTCATTGGATCAATTCCAACGATACGGTAATATCTATAAAGTTTTTAACAACGAAACCTACACACCTACAGGTTAAGAAAGTGATCTTATTGTGGACACCGTTCTTCAATAGCCAAGAATGGGAAAGGATTTCATTACAAAAATTGAACTGTTCGTTCAGTCAGTGTAAAATAACTAGAGACCGAAACCATTTTAACTATAGTGATCTTGTGGTTTTTCACTGGAGAGATATCAAAGTCCATGATCTCCCACCCATTCATCCCCCCTTTCAGCGATGGGCTCTGTTTAATTTGGAGTCTCCTCATCACACACCAGCCGCTGTTCTCCGGGCTTTAGGAGACAACATAAATTGGACAGCAACTTACCGTACTGATTCTGACGTTTTTGTTCCGTACGGAAAACTCGTCCCCAAGAATACGAATGAAGTCATTAGAGATGAGAACTGTCGGAATGACCAGAATATTTCAGATAATAACTTGGTCGTGTGGCTAGTGAGTAACTGTGAAACCACGTCTAATAGAGAGAAGTTTGTTGAACAGCTAAAACGGTTTATTTCAGTCGACGTGTACGGAAAGTGTTATGGAAACATATGTTACCCAGTAAATCCTCGGGACGAGTGTTACAAAAGGTTAGCACAGAGATACACGTTTATTTTGTCGTTTGAAAACTCGATATGCAAGGATTATGCTACAGAGAAATTGTATATGGCTTTAAAAATGGGTCTAATACCGGTGGTGTTTGGTGGTGCAAATTACAGTTCGTTTTTACCTCCAAATTCTTACATCGATGCTCTGAATTTTTCCTCTCCAAATAACCTAGCAAACTATTTGTTAACCGTCTCCAAAAGTAATAAACTAGTCAACAGCTATCAGGAATGGAGGAAAATGTTCGACGTTCAACCCCTGTCCTTTAGGTGGTTTTGTGACTTGTGTGAAAAGCTCTCCACGGAACGTAGTGAAAGACAGTCTTTTCATAAGTTTCAAGAACTACACCGTTGGTGGTTTGATGGGGCTAAGTGTAAAAAGTGGGTGGATAACGCCATAAAATTAATTTGAAATATTTTAACGTTCGTTAACTGATTGATAAGCCTAAATAAATTAATTTATCTTTAAGTTTAAGCTTTTAAAGTCTTCATTAGAACTGAGGACTTTACTACATTTCTATGATTATAAGTGTAATATATCTAGAAATATCATTTTTTGTTATAATTCACTATTCTTTGCCACATTGTTCAGTTTTTAAGGATAGGATATTCAGGTTCACTGTTACTAACAAGTAAGAAGTATCGCAATAACAGAAGTGTCGTAAGGAATTGAACAAAAATAGAAAGGAATATCTCAAAAACAATTGTAAAACAAAGAAAAGGACACACAGAGAAACAGTATTCTGTGTTTTCATTCAACAAAAACAATTGTGTGTGTGTGTGTGTGTGTGTGTGTGGTTGGTAATTCAATGTTATTGTAATGAAATTAACTGCTGGAGCAGGACTAGCAAATAAATCTGTTCTATAAAAGATGGATTGCCCCAGGCAGAAAAGTTGAATCTATAATACCTTAAGTAGTATGCTACCCCACATTTCTAGATTACCTGTGCCAGTGACCAATCCGCTTGTACATATAAATCAAACTCATACTAAGTTGTACACATCTTGGATATGCCTCATATCCCAGAGGGAAGTGATAACATAGAAGTGTTCCACTATACCTGGAAAGAGACTACATCAAAACCATGTTCTTCATGATCTGCATTCTCGAATTTTCGATTTTGTCACAAACATACTGTTTACTAGCATAAAAAATTTGACTTGAACTTTTGTGCTCTAGATTTCGTAACAAATAAGAAAAAAAGCTTTTACAATCAGTTAATGACATCGCTTGCGTCATGTACGATTGGCATGACAACAATATTAATCATTATTCTGATTTTTGATTTACATTGTTTTGTTGTTAAGCGCAAAGATACACAATTTACACTACCCACAGCGAGTATTGAAGCTCAGTTTTTAACTTTATAATCTCTCAGACTTACCACTGAGCCGCAAGATGGCTTTGATTTGCAATTTGCAATTTATTTTTCAAGTGTCGATTACAAATTAGCGTACTTTGTATATATATATGTATAAATTCTTAAATATGAGCTGGGATAAGAAGATTTAAGCGATATTGAAATTCACACAAAATGGGCAAATGATAAAATAATCATAATTGGAAAATCCTTAATTCTAAATGAACTAGTGAATATTTGATCTTGGTTGATAGTGGGCCAAACGTAGCCAAGTGGTTAGCAGCCCAGAACTGTGAATTATAAGAAGTGAATCAGTTTAAAATTAGGGATAGTTTTGTACAGATAGCACTTTATGTAGCTTTGCGCAGAAATTGCGCAAACATTCTTATTTCTTTGGTGTGTCTTGAATTTCTCGCAAAGCTACACAAAGGCTATTTGCACTAGACGTCACTAATTTGGCAGTGAAAGACTAGAGGGAAGTCGGCTAGTCATCACCACCCACCGCCAACTCTTGGGCTACTCTTTTACCAACGAATAGTGGAATTGACCGTCACATTAGAACTCCCCCACGGCTGAAAGGGCGAGCATGTTTGGTGGGACAGGGATTCGAATCCCTGACCCTCAGATTGCAAGTCAAGCGTCCTAACCACGTGGCCATGCCGGGCCCGCAAACATTCTAAAACAAACGAATACTATCAGTTTCTAACTGTGGGAAGTAGTAGCTCTCGTTACTTAAGCAACACCATCTTCCACTAAATTGTCCACTTCTTTTCTTTGGACACCCAAATCCTATGTCATTAGAGTGCTTGTGCATGCGTGAAAATTACATCCATATATGTATAAAATATATGTAGCAATTTTGTATCTAAATATAACTCATGTTGGAAATTTTTCATTGTATTGAGACTCGAACTCGGGTCCTCACAGTTCACTGCTCGTCGCCCTACCAACTGAACTTTTGAACTTTAGAGCAACATGGGCATAACTTAATACATTAGAATGTAGTTGAGCGCTAACGCGATACATAGCTGTAGTATGCAGGGTTACCTTGCTTTTTCTAATTTCTTATTTCAATGTAGACGTTTTTCAAATTTCTCGTTTATTCTGAATATATGCTCTTTTCGCATAACATGTGTTCCAGAAAACTATTAAGTGAACCTTGTTCTAGTTGCTTTTGTTGCTTTATTATTCTCTATAGATTATACCTGCTTCACCAGTAGAAGTTATTGCTGTAACAGAGTACGTTTTGCAAAAACGTTAACAAAGTAGTGTCCTTCGTTCGTAAGGCAGATAATATCTAAATGCCACGACCAATGTTGAGTAAGAATGACCAGTCACTTGGTAGCGATAGTCGCCATGGGTAAATCTGACGTATCTCGTTAAGAAAGAAACGTTACATTTAAACAGTCTACACGGGACCTCAGAAAAGTTGGGTGGCAGCGAAAAGGCCAAATAATCAATTCACAAATCCATTAGCATGCGACACCGGTTTCCTAACTCAAGTATGCACATTAGCTTTTTATCTATCAAATAAAAATTATTTTCATTTGTGCTACACGTCTTGTCCAATCTCTAGTTCTTAGCTGATAGCTCAGTTAGTAGTTAAATCCAGACTTACTTCATAATTGATCCTGCCAATCCTCCCATTTTAAAGCGGATCTACCTAACACTCTTTGCGGAAACTAGTTTAACCAGAAAATACCATATAAAGGGAAAACAGTTTAACCTGAAATCTCACATAATGTTCTAAGGGGAAACTAGTTTAACCAGAAAATACCAGATAACGTTTATAATATGCTTTAGGTTGATATGACATAATTTCATGGCATCTTCCAAAAATGTACGTTTCAATGTAAAATATCGACGAAAAAAAAAAGGCAACAGAGTCAAAATACAATCTCCAGATTTTCGTATAATTTGAGTACAAATTTATAATGTTTTGGAATGTTTTTATTAAGTTTTTAAGAATACCTGACATGATGAATCTAAGTTTTTGTTTGGTTTGTTTGAACGGTATGTCTGCGGACTTACAACGCTAAAAACCGGGTTTCGACACCCGTGGTGAGCAGAGTACAGGTAGCCCTTTCTGTAGCTTTGTGCTTAACTTCAAACAAAAGCACATACACTCAATTCAGATTACATGAAAACAACAATAACATAAAGAAAAAAAATATTTTTACTGAGAGTATTATAACATACATAGTATACTCTCATAGATTTTGATCATTTTCATGTTTTTCACCCGGATATTTCACAGAATACACACGTATACATATACGAAATAATTTTTATAAAGTTTTGTTTGTTTTGGAATTTCGCGCAAAGCTACACGAGGGCTATCTGCGCTAGCCGTCCCTAATTTAGCAGTGTAAGACTAGAGGGAAGGCAGCTAGTCATCACCACCCACCGCCAACTCTCGGGCTACTCTTTACC